CATGCCAAAACCAGAACTACTCAACCAACAAGAGTATGATAGGCTTTGTCAAAAAACGACTGAACCCATACAAGAACCTCATACACCACCTGTTGATGACAATTCATCAGAAATAACTCAGGAAGGTATGTCAAACAATGTTTACACTATACAGCACTAAGCCAAATTATTGTGACCACTTGCATTCTCTTGCCTTAACAGCAAACTAACATTTTTCAAGATATTTTTTTTATTCTAATTTCGATCAAAGAGAAACATCCATAAAATAATTTCAAACCTTGGCAATGTTAAGTTCAAACATGTGTTAACCATTGCTGGTCACACTTAGTGCTGTAAAACATTGACATTGTGAGAATAATCTATTTTCTTTGTAAGTACTAAGAGTTCGTATAAATATAAGTATCAAATTGCATGTTTTATTGGCGTCATTACAAAAAAAAGTAAAGTTCACAACATATTATATGTATAATTACACTCACTAGAGTGCTTGCACCTAAAGCGTGAAACAAATAGTATCAATTACTACTAAATAGTGTTGATTATACAATAGGAAACAAAGGAATTTGTATAATTTATCACCTATTTTGTAGTATTTATATTTAATGCATTTAGTGTGAGCACTCTAGTACATGTATGTAGTTCCTAAAAAAATTTTTTCTTGTAACTCTGTTTTTATTTGTAACTCTAAATTGATGACTGCATGAATTAAGGAAGTTTGGCATATGAAGAGTTAAGGTAATCAACCATGAACATTAAATAATTAATCTTGTTTTTAAGCTGGTAGAAAATCACGCAAGTGCTCCCATTGTCACAAGTCTGGCCATCGCAAGACATACAAAGGAAAGATTACCTGTCCCGTGCTAGCTGCAAATCAAGAACTGCCTTAATACATTTGAAACGGTAAATAATATTATATTGATTTTGTATATATACCTGTATGGTATTACATTGAATGTGCTTGTTGAGGCAAGTGTAGCTTTTTTAAGTTTGAAAAATGTGACATCCTCATTTTATTCTCATTGTTATTTGTAATATAAATGACATTTCTGGCATAAAATGTTATTGAAGCATTATGTACAAGTTAGATGATTACAATATTCTTAAATTCGCAGACATTTTGACCCTGTTCTAGTTTCAGCACAATTGCCCTTTGATCGCTTGTATTCTTGCATTTGGATTATTCCTAGCGTTGAATGCTCTGAAATTTCAAATATTAAATAATGATTATTAGTTTTAAAAGAACTAATAAACTAAGATGTGGGAAGTGACAGGATTACTATTTCTAATGTAATAATGTATTTGTTGCAAACTATAAAAACTAAATGTCCATATACCTGTCTGTAAGATAGTAGGATTCGTGGTCTGTCCATTGTGTGCCCTCTGTTCACCAAAGAAATTCTCTAATTTATCCTGATTAGTATAACAGGCACATACACTTGAGCCAGGGTACATTTTGAACAGAATATCACAGTAAACTTTGAARCCCAGGATCATGGAATAGACATCAAACTTTGTTTTCTCTGAGAGGAACATCTTTACTTTCTCTTTAGGTGTAACTCCTGGAGCATTCTTTGCTTGTGCCTGCCACCTCTCAAGCCATTCAAAGCATTGCTGGTTTTCAATGAAGCGTTCATCCTCAATTGACCTGTATTCAAGGTGGATTTAAATGTAACTACAAAGAACATGCATATAAATAATATGCTTCACAAAGCAAACATTACAATTTGAGGAAGTTTATTAGATACTTGAAACCTCTATAACTCAAACTGGGGTAATACTCATTTGAGGATTCAAGTACCATTCCACAATATTTTGTATTGTAGAATTTGCACTCCACTATCATAGGTATGTAAACTTCAGAATGACAGGTGTCATGTTTGCACCTAACTGTCTTTGCAATTTACCTGTATGGTTTTTTGTTTTTGAAGTTTTTTATCAAACAGCTTGTGGTGCTTAGTAGTTCTGCAGTCTTCTCAAGAGAATTATTGCCAGTGTCATTCTTTTGTAAGTAAGCTTGATAGTTCTGTTGGATGAAATAATTATAGTGATATGTATCAATATGTCAACACAGATGTTTCCACTTTTTAGTACATTAATTGATTAGTAGATTAAAAAGAGCATTCTTAGATTAAAATTATTTTTTATATTACAATTTGTGAAAGGCTAGATTACTAACTTTCATGTTAGAAATGATATGATTTTGAGTATGATTTCAGTGGGCGCAACAACTACATACTCGATTTGTTGTTGGCCTATCCATATATTAGTAATAGTATTTMATTTAATTTAATCAGTAAAAAGTCGCCTTCAACTTACTTGTAAAACTTCTAGCATTCGTTTTCCAAGTACGTCATCAGCAAGGTAGTTTCGCATCTTTTCTGCACTTCCAGGYTCAAAGTGTTGTGGTGTTAAGAACTTGAATGTTTGGAAAGGGTTTTTTTCTACATCATACATGTAAGCATCCCTTAAATGTGCCCAAAGTATCTCTTTGCCATCAAGCTTGAAATGTCTAGGACTTTTACCATTTGAAGAGCTTTTCAGGAGATTGTTTCTCAACTTTTTGAAGTTKTKSWRGCAAAAAAAGCATAGCAAAGTATTTTTTTGTGTGAAGGGGGAGCATTTCCTTAATATGGGAAATTATTAGTTGAGGGTTGATTAAAAAGTTGTTATCTGTAAAGGAATAGAGTGACTGATATGTTAACATTGTTTACACTGAAACTTTCTGAAATGCTTTAGTCATACTCACAGAAGGGTCTACCATAAATACCAATGGCTCTCCTGTRTAGATGTTTGTGGTTGTGAAGTTCTCTTTGATGGCATCTTCACCTCCATTAAAATGACATTGTACAAATGTGCGATTTGCTTGGGCACCATCACATATAGCAAGAAATACTTTGAAACCAAATTCGGCCACATCAAATACAGCATTCCAAAAGTGATGGTATAGTGTTGTAGGGTCAACCTCAATAGTTGGAAAATAGCAAACTGGGAATTTGAATCCAGTTGAGCCAATGAACATGAACTGCAACAGATGCGAAGCTACATTTGCTTCATCTTTTCCTACAAATTGGAAATAATTTACCAAGTTMGTTTTCTTATTATAATAAAAAATACAAAATTAAGGAAAAGATATTTTTTAATTAAAAATAAAAAGTTAGGTAAAAGGTATTTTGCTTGCCTGTAGCTAGGACTTGAATATCTTCATACAATTCTCCAAGGTTGACTACTCCAACAATTTCAAATGAGTCACCTTTCCGCCGTAGTTGTACATCCTCCTGTGAAACATTAGTGAATAAAAAATAAATTCCTGAATATTACTGATCCTTGCTTTACAACAAAGACAAACCTGAACAGACATTTCATCAAATGTTATGTAGCCACAATAGCCAGCAGGAGATATATTCTGTGCTTGTGCCTGCTTTCTCATGTACTCTAGCATCTGTAAGTTTCTACCAGGTTTCTGAAAGATGAAACAAACAAAATTTAATTGCTTTACATAGAATTTGATGGTTTTAGTTAGATAATCATCTCTTTGCAGGCCAGGTTTTTCAAGCCCAGGTAGTCTGTGCTTGGTTCATTTATATAAATAAGTAGAACATTAATTAATAATGTTGTAGACCTACATACCTGCTTTATTTTGCTCTTGTAANAGAAGCTGGGGATCGATCTGCACATCCTCCTTTCCAATTGACAGTATTCCTAGAGTTTAAGTTAGCTTGTTCACTCCGTTTGAAGCATTGTTCTGCCTTGCGAATGAGTCTACGCGGTTGATTACATGTTGAGTTATCATCATCATCATCATCGTTTTTGCGCTTTCTGGCTTGCGCAATCGCTGTTGGATGACAGTACGTCCGCCGGCATGTTTGATGGACGTACTCACCTGCCGTTGTTCTAATGTCTTCATAACGCTCTAGGTTAGCGCGATTGATACTATCGCTACCCTTTGTACCAAGTTTAGATACATCATTTTTGTTTTTAATTGTCGTCTTACAAATTGCACATACTTTTGACTCTTCTGCATCCATGCGCCCACATGAACCTTTTAGGTGAAATTAAATGCATAATGTATAAATACTTTAGCATGGATGAAAAAATAAATTATTTGCCACACAAGGCATATTTTCACTATATTTCAGAACGTTTGCAAATGATTGAATTCGATTTTCCTTACCTTATAAGAGCAGACATGTGTCGTCGCTTAAGTTGTGAATACCATTGAGATATACGGAAGTTAGCTATCAAACCTTAAAACCAACAACTTAATCATTATAGCAATATTGCATACAATGAAAGAAAGCAAGTTACAATTTCTGAAGTTCTTAAGTAAGCATTAGGATGCAGATAACGTTTTGACTGAATCGCTTGCGAAATCACCCCATCATTAGTTATTCAACTTCCCAGTGAAATGAACAAGCAAACACAAAGTCTTTTGTGTAGTCAATTTCTATTTCAAGTTTACGTTACTAGATTTGATACAAATATTACATAAACATTGCATTTTATATTGCAAATATACTAAAAGGTAAGTATCATTGTGATTCCCTCTTCCAGCGATGTCTTTCATCAACAATTTATTAGGTTTGAGCGAACATACTTCAATGTTTTGATCTGAGCCTCGTTTTCATGTCGTGCTCGAATTACTCTTCAGATACTCGAATAAAAACGTGAATTTGACGAACTTCCCGGCATGGGACTTTCTGGGACTTTTTATATGTTAAAAAGCATATACTTCTGAGTCTAAAACCGTCGAAAAACCTTTTGTTGCAATTAGTGGCAGGTTGAGGTACAAATATTCGTAGATTGACTGGACTATCAGGTAGCACTGAAAAGCATTGACTTTTTACACCTTCACAAACTTTGCAGACACCAATGGCTTGCATGATGCTTTTCAAGACTTCAACATTCAAGATTTTATTTGGCAGGACTTTAAAATTTTGGCTCTTGACAACTTGTCCTCCATACRAAGCATCCCAACTTAGATCTCTGTTTATCTTTATAATTCTAAAGACCTGTCGCCCATCAAACAGCTTCTGGTCATACTTTCCAATTTCTACAAACTTATCACAACTGAAATGTAAACTCCAGTTGCATGGTTGATTAGGCTGGATTATGTTGAGGGTCTGAACAATGTCTTCCAAGGAGAACTRGGAAGCAGTAAGGGGGGCATTGTTCTCTTTGTCATTTAATACACCAATGTTGACATAAATGTTTATAAATAGTGTTAAAGAAAGTTCATAAAGATCATATATTGTCTATATTAYATGATAATTCCTCAATAATTCATTAGCAATCAAAGAGATGGGAACATACAAAAATAGGCATTATGGTTGTTTATTTAAATGTTTCACAGTCMAATGAAAACCACTTTATATATAAGCTTATACTAGTCATTGTTTTTGTTATTTTTTTGGGTACTCAAAACTAGTAACGGTCTTTGTTTGTTTTTTGTTTGATTGTTGTCTTTTTTGGTCTTATTAAAACATACTCAACTTTTAATACGATCACGATTGTTTAACGATAATATGATGAAATTAAAACATGAAARGATACTGGAATTGATCTTTTGACCCACTTAACCTTTTTCTCTTWTTCTTGCAAGTAGGAAATATGCTCACAAGTCGCTTTCCAAACTTGGCTTTATCCTCACAACTGATTATTTCAAYAGCGCATTRTTCCGCGTAAGCTTCGAAGGCTTCATCGACGGAAAGAACATTTCCTTCAGATATAAAGAATCTTGAAATAATTCTAAAACAAGAAAGAACAAAGATAGTAGTTCCCCTTAGATTTCTACAGAAATCAATCGGCCGTTCATGCATAGATCGTTTTATTGTTATTCAAATTCAAATCTTTTTGCTTAAGTCGAAGACAAAAGAATGAATTAAAATGA